AAACCCTGTCTCAGGAGAGACAGAGGGGAGAGGTTGTCCTTTACCAACATGACTGACACGGGGGTGGGCTGGGAACATGTAGAGTTCTGAAAGCCCGTCCTGTACCCAAACAAACGGGGACAAAGGAGCAGGTGCTGGGAAGGGGCCCCTGGTGAGCAATGCTCAGCCAGTCAGGTGTGGATGCAGAAGACCACTGGGTAGTAACTGAACTTGAGACTGTGACTGGACCGGGGGATGCTGGGAGGTCCAGCACCGCCCCCCCCCCCCCCACAGGGGACACTTTCCACTTCACAAGCTGCTTTAATGTTGACTCACAGAAGCCTGTGGAAGGGCTGGGCAGCCTACTTACCATAGAGGAAACTGAGGCTGGGGAGGGCGGAGGACCCTGTGCTGGGACCTCACACAGTGACTGGAGTGAAGTGCTGAGTGGAGACTGGGGATATACAGAAACTGTAGGCTGGAGAAGAGCCAGGCAAGAGTTGTCTGGAGGTCTCCTGAGATCCTTTTGTCTCCTTTGGTCAGGGTCCCCAACACACACACAGCAGACATGACCTCTAGCCTGACATATGCTTGGCAGGACCCTGGTCCTGGCTCGTCCTCCCAGGACAGAAGAGACATCCCAACCCCAGGTTTGAGAATTCAGACACGAAGGGACTCTGGGACCCGACTTGAGGGAGATGGGATTTACACCTAGTCCTCCTGAACCCTTGTCATGTCTTCAGGCCCCTGCATGCCTCAGCCCACTGGCAAAGGGTTCCCGAGAGAAGGGTAGAGGTCTGTGTTCAGAGGGAGGGGGGCTGACAGACAAGAAAGGTGTGGACACAGCGCTCTCTCCTCCTCTCTGTGTCGGACTCAGGTTCACCTCACAGCTTTGTCTATTTTATATCAAATTATCTTAGCCCTCTCTGCCTCAGTTCCCTCATTTGAGAAAGGAGAAGGGTGCTAACATTCACCCCGAGGACCACAGCAAGGACTGGATGGGAGAGGGTGTGAAACTGGCCAATCAGTGCACTTGGAGTGAGGAACCATTCAGTTAAAAGTAGCTGTTATCAGTCGGCCGTCACCCTTTTTTAAGTAAGACAGGGTCTATGTAGCTCTGGCTGTCCTGGAACTTGCTCTGTAGACCAGGCTAACCTCAAACTCACAGAGACCCGCCTGCCTCTGCCTCCCAAGTGTTGAGGTTAAAGGCGTGCGCCACCACACCTACCCCATTCTTCTTGTTATTATTAATTGTTCATTCATCCAGCCAGCCCCAGGAGTTTTATTTTGTTCTTTATGCTTATCCAGTGAGTTTGAGGGAGCCTGGGCTTCCTCTTACCACCATGCCAAGCAAGAAGACAGCTAGCTGCCCCCTTCTCGTGGCCCGTCAGCAGACTTACCCCAGGCCCTGCGCCTCTCACTCCTCAGTAGGAGTCCTGAGGGCAGAGGTTGACATGCTAGTAATAATGGGGCCTTTACTGTGTGACAAGGCTCTGCTGGGAGTGGGGAGTGGCAGCTGGTGGCTGATGGGAGGTGGGCACCACTGCCCTCTGCCGCCCAGTTCCTTCTAGGTGGCTGGATGCCCCTGGATGGTGGCTCCCGCCAACCAGGAGACGCTGGAAAGGCGAAGCACAATGGCTCTGGCTTTCTTTGTTGGGTAAACTGCCTTGCCCCACCCTGAGAACTCAGCAGGCCCTGGGGTCGCCCCCTCCAGCCTCCAATCCCTAGGACCCCAGAACTCACTGTGCCTTGGTTACTGGGTGAATAATTCAAGCTGTTGAGTGTCGGTCATGAAATATTTAGCAGGCTGTTCCCAACACACCAGTGTGTGGGGGCGACGTTGGCACTGGGATTGCAGGCTGGGGCCATGAGCCAGCAGGGTTCTAAGAAGAGGTGTGGGGCGGATGGCTGGGGCTTTTGCCTGCCCTGCTCTGTGTAGGCAAGACATACTTTTTAATTTTTTCCCATTTCATTTTATTTTAGGTTTTTAGATACAGGGTCTTACTATATAGTCCAGATTCTCAGTGATCCTCCTGTCTCAGCCTTCCAAGTGTTGGGATGATAGGAGTGTGCCAGGATACGTGTGTGTGTGTGTGTGTGTGTGTGTGTGTGTGTGTGTGTGTGTGTGTGTTGCTGAGGCTCTAACCCAGAGCATTGTAATACTGAGCTACACCCCCAGCCCTTGCTTTGCTCTTGACGTGAGTGACATTCTGAAGGACAACCAGGTGTACCACCATTTCCCCCCAAGACATCTAAGGGCCAGATCCAACAAGTGTCAGCTTTGTGTCGGATGGGGGAAGGAGGTCCACACAAGGAGTCAGGAGAGACAGGGAATGGGAACTAAGTGAGGGATGTGTACAACTTGAGCAGAGAGGCTCCAGGGTCAGGGCTGCTGAGAGGGCTGTACTTAAGGAGGGGAAGATATGCTTGTCAGGGTAGGAGTAGGGACCTAAATTATGTTGCAGTGACAGAGATGGCTGGTGCATGGACAGATCTATCTGGAGGAGGGACATGCAGGCCACTGGACGAATGAGTGAGGGGTTTGATGGGTCTGACTGATATTGTGGATGTTTAGCTAGGAAGAATAATTTGAGTGGGAATATGAAAGACTGGAGAGTAACAGGATGGACCCCCCAGCACCACCACCCCCGCGCCCCCACCCCCCTGCCCAGCTTGAGTTTGTAGACTTGAATGGACAGGTGATGGTTCTGGAGTAGCTTGTGGCTCCACCCAGTGTCCATTCCTGGTAACTGCACCCTGGGCAGCCCACGCCCATTATCAGCCTAGTGGCCAAACCCTTTGATTGCATGCCTCTCACCTGTGAGGCTGGATCCCTGTTACCCAGTTAGGAAACTGCCGGGCCGGGGAAGCAAGGACAAGGGGTGGTAAGAATCAAAAGCTAGACCACTGGGACACCATTGGGACACGGGTTCCACCTGTTCTTTCCACTGTCCACGTGTCTCCCGTGGGTCCCATCCCACAGGCACTGCATCCCACAGATGGATTTGTGATCCCATCACATTTACCAGCTGTGTGACGTGTGGCAAGAATGCCCTAGCCCCGTTAACCTTCTGCAAATTAGGGATAACAACAGGGCTTAAGAAACACTTGCCTGGGCTGGAGAGATGGCTCAGTGGTTAAGAGCACTGGCTGATCTTGCAGAGGACCCAAATTTTATTCTTTGCACTCATATGGAGGCTCACAACCATCTGTAACTCCAGTGTCAGAGAATCTGGTGCCCTGTTTTGACCTCTGTGGTTTACACACATAAATATAGGCAAAACATTCATATACATAAAATAAAATAAATATTTCAAAACATTAAAAAGATCTAGGCATGCTGGTGCTCTCCTTTAACCCCAGCACTCAGAAGGCAAAGGCAGGTGGATCTCTGAGTCTGAGGCCAATCTGGTCTACAGAGCAAGTTCTAGGACAGCCAGGTATACACAGAGAAACCCTGCTTCAAAAAAAAAAAAAACCACACACAAAAAACCCTAAAAATTAGTTAATTAATTAAAAAGAAAGAAAGACTTACCTGCTAGTATCATACTCCCAGGTAAGTGCCCAGAATATAGTGAATGTAAGGCTGCCAGATTAACGCCAAAACTCAAGGAGCTGGAGAGATAGCTCTCTGGTGCCTGCTGCTCTTGCAGAGGACCCAAGTTTGAGTTCTAAAACCACCTGCAATCCCAGCCATATGGAAATCTTGCACCTCTGACTTCTGCAGGCACCTGTATTCACATACACAAACACAGACACATAAACATCATTAAAACACCATTCACACTGAAACCCAGGAGGCAGTACTTGGCAGATGCTAGAATACTGATGTCCATCTGAAGTTTGGGTTTAACTGGGCACCACTGCATTTTACCTGGAAACCTCCAGTCCTGCCTTCTAGGAAGTCGGTTTCCTGTGGGGAGGCCACGGCCAGTAGCAGCTACAGCTAACGAAATAAGCCAGGCCACCAAAGGAACTGGCCCAAGGTAGGAAGGGGCCTCCAGAGGGTACAGGGAGAAAGGACAGGCAGGCTTCAGGAAGGAAGGATGTGTTGTAAGGAGGAAAGAGTGGGCCTTCCAAATGGGGAGGCACCTGAGAAAGGTACAGAATTCAGACAGCAAGTGTGGAAGCACGCGGTGACAGCTGCTGCGGCTGAAAAGGTAGGAGAAATCAGGCAATCATGTCCTTATAGACACTGCCTAAAAGGCAGGTGTGGGCTTGTGAGATGGATCAAGGGTACAGATGTTTGCTGTGTTTGTGGCTAAGCCCGATGACCTAAGTGCCATCCCCAGGAGCAACATGGTTGAAAGAAAGTCAGCTGACTCCCAAAAGCTGTCCTCTGACTGCCTTGTGGCCATGCCTGCCACGCACACACACACATAAGTAAATATAATGTATGAGAAAAGAGTCATTTTCATAAAAGGGAAAAAAGAAAATCAATAAATATTTGATAAATAATAATAAAGATAAATATAAGACAAATAATAAATATAACTTAAAATCATCTTAGCTGGGCATGGTGGTACATGCCTTTAATCCCAACACTCAAAAGTCAGAGGCAAGTAGATCTCTGAGTTAGAGGCCAGCCTGGGCTACATAGTGATGAACAGCCAAGGCCATTATGTAGTGAGACCTTGTCCAAAAAAAAAAAAAAAAAATGCAGTAGGCTTAGGCACGATATAGAAAAGTTGTGAGAGGCAGGTGGATCTTTGTGAGTTCAAGGCCAGCCTGGTCTCCAAAGCGAGTTCCAGGAAAGGCGCAAAGCTACACAGAGAAACCCTGTCCGGAAAAACCAAAAAAAAAAAAAAAAAAAAAAAAAAAAAAAAAAAAAAAAGAAAAAGAAAAGAAAAGTTGAGTAGGCAAGAGGAGGCGGAAAGTGGAGAGGGACTCTGAAGGACAACGTGCGACACAGCCTCTCCAGGCCACTCGTTCAGCATTCTGGAGAGCCAGCCTATGGAAGGAGGCTTTGGTGACACTGCAGTGGGCATCCAGAGCACATGGTGGGTGTTGCCTCTTCGCAGGGGATTGAATGCCCAGACCAACAACGGTGCCACACCCCTATACCTGGCGTGCCAGGAGGGCCACCTGGAGATGACGAAGTACCTTGTGCAGGAGTGCAACGCAGATCCGCACGTGCGCGCACAAGACGGCATGACCCCCCTGCACGCTGCTGCGCAGATGGGTCACAACTCAGTCCTGGTGTGGCTGGTGAGCTGGGGACAGAGCGGAACAGCGCTGGGAGTCGGCGGGGTCAGGAGGGGCCTAGCGCAAGCCCCGCCCTCTGCCCCGCCCCCTACCAGGTGAGCTTTGCAGACCTGAGCTTGTCAGAGCAGGACCACGACGGCGCCACGGCCATGCACTTTGCTGCTAGTCGCGGCCACACCAAAGTGCTCAGCTGGCTTCTGCTGCACGGTGCAGAGATCTCGCAGGACCTGTGGGGCGGGACCCCGCTACATGACGCTGCTGAGAACGGGGAACTCGAGGTCAGGGCGGCCCGAGAGGGGTGGGGTCGAAAGTGGGTGGAGGGCGTGGTCGGGGCGCGGCCGGGTGCAGGGGCGCGGGCGCCCTCTGGCGGCCGCGCGCTCTCTTCGCAACCCCTCTGGAGTGCAGGAGGTGGAGGGACCCAGCTCTCAACCGGGACCCCTTCCCTGCTCTCCCCTTGCAGTGCTGCCAGATCCTCGTGGTGAATGGCGCGGGGCTGGATGTCCGGGACCATGATGGGTACACAGCTGCCGACCTGTCTGATTTCAATGGCCACACCCACTGCTCCCGCTACCTGCGGACCGTGCACACCCTGGTATGACCCAGGAGCAGTGGTGTGGAGTTACTCAATCTCACCCCTAACCCCAAGTGTCTTACCCCTTTTACCAAGAAGGAAGCTGAGGTTCAAGGATATGAAGCTTCTTGCTTGAGGTGGTACAAGGAGTAACTTTCCTTGCCCACTGCTTGGCACTAGTTGAAATTCAAAACCACTGTCATGGGGTATGAGGACAGGCAGAGACAGACCACTGGGCCCAGCCAAGTTCATTTTTCATCCACCTACATGTATTAGTTGATTTAAATCTTACAGACCCTCTCTTGTAGGGTGTGGTAGTGGTCCTATTTCACAAATGGGTAAACTGAGTCTCCAGAAACCCAAAGGTCACATGCCCATGATGGAGTCCAGTAGCCTGGCTTGGCTATGAGATGTTAAGCAAATTTATGAAAGTCTGTTAAAGGGTATCAAGGATTTATTAAGATATAAAATGGGGAGAAAATGCACTCTCGGATACAGAACAAAGTGAACAGCCGCCATGGTCCTCCATTCTGCCCGGGGTCAATGGAACCGGTCTCCAACCACCCCAAGAGAGAGCAAGCACATGCCCCTTCTTCAGTTTTAAGCAGTCGCGTACCAGAAAAAAACCACGCCTCTATCAGGCCAGATACCCCAAGGCTGTTGGTGGAGCAAATTCCCACAACAATGAGCTGCCTCTTTTCCTCCCTCCTTTGGTGATGAGGGTTGAACCTAAGGCCTTGGGGGTGCTAGGTAAGGGGTCTAGCATTAGCTACACCCTCCTAAGTAGCTAGGATTATAGCCATGTACCATGGCACCTGGCAGGAGTCACCCCTCTTGGCTAGTTGCTCACTTTGTAGTTAATTCATAACCAAAAAACAATGTGACTCTTGTAAATTATTTTATTACACGCTTACAAAGCCATGAGATGACCCAGTGGGATTCAGGCTCAGGTGTGGACGTCTCTAAGTCCGGGGCCCTGCGCCAGCTGCTACAATGCCTACTTTGGGGCTGTAGAGGAGGAAGACCGTAGGTCTCACAACCCCCCTCAGAGGGATGCTATCTCCAGGGCCTAGCCCAGACCTGAGTAAGGCTTCCAGATAAAGCCTGGAGGAGGGAAGGCAGATGGCCCTGCTCTATCTGCTAGCATGTGGGGTGACCCTGTTGAGATTTGAACAGTACAGCAGAGTCTAAGTGTCAATCAGGGCTGAAAGGTTGTGGGATGAACTTCCAGAAAGGGCCTCCCAGAGTAAGCCACAGGTCGTGGGTATCCCATCACTGGAGCGCACAAGCAGGAGTGGACACTGAGGTCTCAGTACCAGGAGTGAGTTCCTTCCTGTTATTATCAGGCTGCAGGTGTGTGGCGCCCTGGAACCCCTGTGAGCTTGCCAGACTGCAGCTACAGCTGCCCATAAGCACCAGTGCTGAGGTCTGACTCTGGTAGATTCTCTGCCCTGTGCTTTACAGGTGTGACCCCAACTCACCTTTACCATGTTATTGGCACTTTACACTTAAGGCATGTACTGGGACCCATCACCATGCCTGTCACCAACTTTCAACACCTTTGCCCCTCCCCCCACGGAGCAAATCCCATTATTCCCACTTCACAGGTGAAGAGGCTCGGGTGGAGAAACTATTGGTATACAATACGGTCATGATCCCATAGCTAGTGTGTGGGGGCAGGGAATTAAAGCTACAATTCCAGGCTGCAAACCTGCGAGCCAGTGCCCGACCCCTACCTTCTGCGGTCTACAGAGGTCAGGACTGGGTCGCTACGCTGCCCACTAGTGTTAGTCAAGAAAAGAGTACCTTTAGGTTGTTGGCCCCAAGTCGTCTTCTGGGGCTCTCCTTTCCTTCACAGGGTAGGGAACAGGGCCTGGGCCCCTGGAGTGAATGAGGCAGGCAGCAGGATCTGGTCCCCTCACCCAGGCAGGCCCGGCAGCAGCAATGACAGATCCAAGCCACTGAGGTAGCTGGCCCAGAAAAGGCAAACACTAATTACAGGGCCAATGAGGGTGCCGGCTGAGCCGTTACCTGGTGCCAGCCTGCTTCCCTCTCCCAGGGGGCCTGTGACACTTCTCAGGCAGGGAGGCCGAGGGGCAGAGAGGAGCATCTTTGGGCAGGAGGCAACAGAGGAGCAGGCTTGCCGGTAGCAGGGACAGAATATGGGCAATGTAAGTCGGCCCCTCACCCTAACTGCCCCCAGCAGAGAGGGGCAGACCAGCACTCAGGGGCCCAGCTGGTGGGAGGGAGAACGAGAGGGTCGGCAGCCTCAGCTGGGCCATCCCATCTAGGGCCCAGCCCCTCCCCCCATCAGGAGGTAGACTGGCCTAGGGCAGGGAACTGGCATGTCAACAAGTTAAGATGGGGTTGCAGCCAGGCAGTGGAGGTTGAGTCTCCTTCTTCCTGTAGTAGCAGCCCCTGGGGCCCTCTGCCCACAGATGCATAGGAGCCCAAGCCTTCTGCCCACTGATGAGAGCAGAGAGGCTGGTGCAGGGCTGCATCCCACGGGGTTGCAGCCTAGGCCCTCCTTCCCAGGTCCCGCCTTCCTGAGCAGGGGGAGAGCCTGGTGGGAGTTTCTCTGCGGCCTGAGGCGCTGTTGAGAGGGTCTGCTCTTGATGCTTATTCGGAGAAGATGCAGACCCTCTCATGCAGAGAGAGAAGGAAGTGACTTGGCAGGTTGTTCAGGGAGGACCTACGGTGGGACCCCTGTTCTGCAGACTGTGGGGTTATCCCCACTTGCGGTGGGACCCCTGTTCTGCAGACTGTGGGGTTATCCCCACTTGCGGTAGGACCCCTGTTCTGCAGACTGTGGGGTTATCCCCACTTGCGGTGGGACCCCTGTTCTGCAGACTGTGGGGTTATCCCCACAGCTTCCCTCCTTTCTCCTCAGAGCGTGGAACACCGAGTCCTGTCCCGAGATCCGTCCACTGACCTGGAGGCAAAGCAGCCTGACTCGGGCATGTCCTCGCCTAACACCACCATGTCGGTCCAGCCACTGAACTTTGACCTGGGCTCCCCCACCAGCACCCTCTCCAACTATGACTCCTGCTCTTCCAGCCATTCCAGCATCAAGGGTCAGCTCTCCACTCGAGGTGAGCAGGCTGGGAGGAAGAGGGGTGAGAGGAGAGAAGCCCAAACACACTCTGTTCGTACCACTCACCGCCTTAACATGGGGAGGGGGACAGTCGAGCATGTACATCCCAATATACTCCCCACCACAAAGTCCGCATGTGCCCCCCACATGATTCACTGCTTTCTGTTCTAGGCTACAGCCTCAAAGGTGCACATATGGACAGACGTGCTAGTATACAGATAAGCATGCACAAGCACACATACAAACTTATCCAGATAATATACGTCCATACACCTGTGTTATACAAACAGAAACTCTCCATTTCCCTACTACAGACATGGACACCCACACGCAAGGTCTCCCAGCCCAACACAGATGCACAGAACACAGAGGGACAGGGTTAAATACACATATAACAAAAGCCCTCAGAAACAGGCATATGTGTACACACTGACCACACCCTGAACGGAAGTCCATCTACCTGCAGTGTCTGCTTCCCACCACCAGGTGGTGACCTGCAGAGCTGGCTGGGTGTAGCCCATGCAGACTCCTGCCCTGCCTGGCCTCTGCCAGGTGGTCCTACTTCACAGGACCAGGAAACCCAAAACTCCCTAAAATGACCTCTTGAAACCTGAGAATATCACCTTCCTGCCCACTGTGGCGGCCACAGCGAGCCATCTAAGCAGTGACCCCTGTTAGCCACTGGATAAGCTGTTCAAAGTGTTGGGATACCTTGCATCTGGGGAACATTTTGCAAACTTGTACATCCTGCTTGCCCTCCTGCCCCACCCCCAGGGCTCCCCAGTGCAAGAGCTGCAGACTTACAGAGCTACATGGACATGCTGAACCCAGAGAAGAGCTTGCCTCGGGGCAAGATAGAGAAGCCCACAGCACTACCGCCGCCACCTAGCTTCCCTCCGCCACCACCCCCAGGCACCCAGGTGCCCCCACCTCCACCAGGCTACCCAGCCCCCAAGCCTCCTGTGGGGCCACAAGCAGCTAATATCTACATGCAGACTAAGAACAAGCTTCGCCATGTGGAAGTGGAATCATTGAAGAAAGAGGTAGGTAGAGGGCGGGCCCTGTCGGCTAGCGGTGGGGTAGGCTGATGGGCCAATGGAGAACTGGCCTGGTTGACTTGTGGTCGCAAATGAGACTTTCTGGGTCCAGGGCAAGTTCAAGAACTGAAAATCCTAGCCAGGTCCATGAGAGCTCAGGACTGAACATTGTGGATGGGGTTGCAAGGGGTGGGGGCAACCAAGCCACCATTCCTATTGAGGAGTTGAGGCCAGAGGAACATAGACCTCGTGAGGAGCTACGTGGGCCACGTCTTGCACAGAGTGGCAGGGCTGTCTGGAGTTAGCAGAGAAAGCATGCAGATATTGTGGACACTATAGTTTGGGGCTCAGGTAGAGAATGACACTTGAGCCGGGGGGGGGGGGTGCACGCCTTTAATTCCAGCACTGTGGAGGCAGAGGCAGGCGGATGTCTGAGTTTTAGGACAGCTAGAACAGCCAGGACAGCCACGGCCAGGGCTACAAGAGAACCCCTGTCTCAAAAGATAAACAAAAAAAGAAAGAAAAAAGAAAACAAACAAACAAACAAACCCGACACTTGAGGTGTCTTCCAGTTGGGTCATTCTGGGAGTTTGACTTGAAGGTGAGGGCCAGAAGGTGGGTGAGGAAGTTGAGCAAACACTAGAAAGTTCTGCTACCTCATGGCTGGCTAGCTAGGGGAGTAGAGGCTGAAGCTGGCGCCTCTTCCCACCAGAGTAAAAAGGCTTGCTCCATAACCTCTGGGTGGGTGGAGGAGGGGCTTGCATGTGAGAAGAAGGGAATCCTCCAGAAGGGGTGTGAATGTGAGGGGCTAGAACCTCCAGGGCATTTGGACTTCTGGCTAAAGCTGGGGAGCAGGGGAGGGGCAGATATAGTGGCAGGGAGGCCCGAAGCAAGGCTGGTCAGAGGGAGAGGTGAGGGGACAATCTGAGACCACAGGCGGTCAGGTGTAGGGTGGCAAACCCATAAAGTCTTGCCAGAGCCCAGACTTTGCGATTCTCTCCTCAGCACAAGGCTCGCCACCCCAGGGTGGAGCAAAGTGATCAGTTTGCACAGGTGAGCCAGGTCGCAAGGCCATGGGGGCGGAGGCGGCATGGGAGGGACACAACCTTCACGGGGACTGCCACTGCTCTTTCAACTCCCTTCCGGTGCACCGAGCTCTTCCCAGAAGACTCTCTTTTCATCTGGAGATGAAATAAGGCTGGGCAGAGATTGTAGGGGGTTGAGGCCAGACCACTTTCGCAGCCTGGCGCAGCATATGTGCCTTGCCCAAAACCATGCCCGCTCCCCACCCCTGGGCCTGAGTGCCAGCATTGTGCCATGCCCGAGCCCCTCTGCGATGTGTTCGTGCAGAACTGCAGGCGCTAATAGGCTCCACAAAGGGCCCTTTGTGTGCCAGTTACGTCCCTTTGCCCCCTCAGGCGTGGGTGCCTAAACTGTCGGATAAAACTGGGTTGAGGGGTGTGCGCCTCAGTAGCTGCAGTGGGTGCCGAAGGGGCTGGCTGACCCAGAAAGCAAATCCGGCGTGTCGTGTTTCCTGTCACGTGAACCTGGTCCAGTGGGGTGCGAAGGGTCTGAGGACACTGCAGATACTTATAAACTTGGGACTGGGTCAGGGGACAGCCCCGACCCGGTCACTTGGTCTTCGGCCACGCCACCTCTTCTGTCTCGCACAGTGCAGGCCTTAACAGGGAGCAACCGAGTGAGAAGTGGCTTTGTCACCCGAGCCCACCCGGCCACCCTGGAAACTTGAGTCTTGGGCGCGGGTGTGGTGTCGTTTACATGGATAGCGATGGGTTCCAGATGCGGGAGGGGAAGGTCCGGGGCGCGACCTGGGCTGGGGTGGGGGGGTGGGGGCAAAACTGAGCAGTTTCACTGCCCGAGGTCAGGCCCTCTTGCGGTCCTGGCTCATGATTGGGAGCGAGGAGGGTGAAGGTAGGGTACTCAGGACCGCAAGTGGGGAGAGAGGGGCAGAGGGCGGAGCCGCCCCTGGCCCGGTGTAGAGCAGTGGGGCTCCGTGACATCCCCGCCTGCTGGGGGGTTAAGCCTGGGATTGGCGGACCCTGGGTGATGTCAGGCCGACTGAGCTCATAGGCGGGCTGAGTGCGGGCCGGGCTGTAACCTGAGAGGAAGGATCAGGTAACGCAGGTGTCGGGTCCGTGCCGCCCCCGCCGCCAGGTGCACAGCGGGGGCCACCGGAACAGTCGCAGGTAGGAGCAGCCCTAGACTGTGGGTCCCCTGAGTAAGCAGAAGCGTTCCAGGTTACCAGCTCTAGACAGGGCCCCCTCCAGGCCGAGACCCCCGCCGGAGAGGGTTCGAGGAGCCTTGAGCGCTCACGTGCGGTTGGTGGAGCTAGTAGGGTGCAGCCGAGCCCTCGGGGCGGTCTGAGTGGGAGCTGTCCTAGCTCAGGCTCCCCCTGGCGTCCAGGCTGGGCCACCCCGCCCTTGGGTCCGCCCCTTCTGGCCTCAGTGGGAGCCCCTGTGCCCTTGGCCCTAACCCAGACCCCTCCCTGTAAGCCGGCCGAGCCTTCGCCCTTTCACCAAGGTCCCCACGCCCCTCGCCCCATCCTGCACGGAGAACTGTCTGGGGGGGGGCGGGTGGCAGGGACGCGGCCAGCTGCGCCACTGCAGGCCGCGAGCCCCCCAGGCAAAGGGTGGGAAGGGAGGCGCGAGGGGCATCCGGGCTAAGCGCATCATCCGCCACTGTCTTCCCGCAGCCGAGCTCCGGCGACGGCCACTCGGGGCTGCGAAGGCAGGACTCGGGGCTACGCAGGCAGGATTCGGGGCTGCTCAGGCAGGACCCGGGGCTGCGAAGGCAGGACTCGGGGCTGCGAAGGCAGGACTCGGGGCTGCGAAGGCAGGACTCGGGGCTGCGCAGGCAGGACTCGGGGCTGCGCAGGCACAACATCGGACTGCGCAGGCAGGACTCCGACCGCAAGCAGCGCTCGTACAGCAAACAGCCCAGCACGGGGGACTACTACCGCCAGCTGGGCCACTGCCCGGGGGAGCCGCTGGCCTCACGCCCGGGCATGGCCCACAGCGAGGAGGTGCGTGCTCATCCGAGGGCCATCCGGGCCCGGGCCCTGTGGCACGCTCCTCACTCGCTGGCCCCTCTGCACCCCCGCAGGCGGCGCTGCTCCCCGGGAACCACGTGCATAACGGCTGCTCAGCAGACCCCAAGACGTCCAGGGAGCTGCCGCCACCACCGCCGCCGCCGCCACTGCCCGAGGCCCTGAGTTCGCCGCCACCTGCCCCACCTCTGCCCATCGAGGGCGCGGGCGCAGGCAGCGGGCAGCGTCGTTCATCGTCGTCCGCTGGCAGTGAGTAGGGGCGGGATGAGGGGAGGGGGCGGCGCCAGCTGTAAAGGGGAGGGAAACCTAAAGACCGCCCCCTCCCCAGCTGCGATTTGCCTGGTCCTTCTTCCTCCTTCCCGGTTCTTCTTTCCAGACCCTACCCTTTGATGATAAGGGGGAGAAAGTTTTGAGTTGCTTCTGTCCCACGGCAGGGCTGGGCTGAGTGTGGCTTTTGGCGAGGCCCCTGCCCTCTCTGGGCTTTCTACTTTTTGGCTAGGGAGAGCCTCCCGGCTCTGGTGGCTGGTGTTTCTGAGCAGCCTACTGGCTCTTTTCTTCCTGTACCCTGTATCTTCACTCCCGGGACTCCCCAACCTCTAACTCTTGTTCCTTCAAGCTAAGCACAGCCCTGAGCCTTTCTCGGGACTATGACAGGACTCTCACTGATCAGCTGTGTCTGGCGAGGGGGACCAAGACAATGACCCAGCAACCCATCGTTTTTCCTTTCCTGGGGGTTGGTGTGTACATGGTGATGGTGATCGTGGAAGACAACCCAGTGTCCCCCTCAAGAGTGCTAGGCATACACTCCACCACTGGGCTTGGCACCCTTACTTAGAAGTTAAGCTGAAGACCAGGATTGCTGGACACTGTTCCAGGGATCCTGGAAGGTTCTGGTTCTCCGGTCCTAGTGAGGCAGGGCTCAGCGTAGAAACTATACTCCATAGTTCCAGCCCAAGCTTCATTTCTCTGACTAGAATAGGAGAGCAGCTCCTCTGGAGCCTGTGGTAGAATGCCCACACCTGGTTGAGCCCCTGGAAAGCTGTCAGTTCGTCCCCAGCTTGATAGTCAACCCCCCTTCCTCTGCGGCCTGTACTAGGGACAAAAGGAAAATAATAGACTCTGGCTGCCCCAGCCAGCTCCAATGCCAAGATGGTGTCCCTTAGAGGAGTGGATGGACCACCCTCGTGGGGCCCCAGAGTGGCCTGAGCTAGGGTCACAAGGGCAGGAGAGCTCCTCCCCTCTCCCCGCTCCTGCCCTCCCTGCCCTCTTGCTGTCCCCATTTCACCCAGCCCCCCTTCCTCTAACTGCACTGTCAATTCTCTCCTCTTGGTTCCTAGAAGTGAGAGTCCTGAGACACAGGAAGAGTGAGTAGCTGCGGGGCTCGTGGCTGAGGCTGAGGCTGAGGCGTGGGGTGGGGGGAGAGGCGGCTTGCCCAGAAGTAAGGCAGAAAGGGCCTGGGACTGAGGAAAGGGCTTGCTAGGGGCCGGCAGGTGAGAGGACCTGTTACCCCCAACACCACAGCTTCCGGTGCCTGGCTTGCAGTTTTGCTTAAGGAAATGAGCCAGTGGCATGCTTTCCTTCTCTTTGGGATGTGTTCTGGATCACCAGCCCCGGCTCCCAAGGGCCTTTAGTGTCACTTTGTCCTGCCCCCATCTGGGGCACCAAAGACAGCTCTCCCCAAGTACTCATTCACCTCCGCCAGCCTGGCTGGCAATGCAAACCCAGTGTAGGGATTTGCATGCTGTTGGCCTGGCCCTTCTTCCTTACGCCCTCTCCTGTGTCCTCAGTAAGCTCCTCCTTCCAAGGTCCCCCCAGGGCCACGCAGTGCTTTGCCATAAATGTATGCTCTGCTTGCAGTCAGTGTGTCTGCTGTCTGTCTGTGGGTGTGGGGCCAGGGAGGGTCCAGCTGGGTGGCACTCCAGGGTCCTGTGTCTTATGGCCATGGAGGCTCCAGTCGGCTCAGTCCAAGGGTCACTGGACTTTGCTGATGAAGGGAGAGGGCCGTAGGGAGACTCCGCCCTAGTGGGGCTGAGCCAGGAACCTGGGACAAAGGTTGGGTGGCTAGCCAGGTAGTGCTTTGGAGCTGGGCAGTCGATGGTGGGCAGAGATCGGCTCAAGTCCCCAGGGCTGGCCCAAGAGCCACCATGAACTCCCAGGGGCCTCCAGGTGGGGGCCGTATGCCCAGTGAGTAAGACCTGGTGGGGTCACTATGGACTGGGCGCTGATGGCCCACCTTTGGGTGTCCTGACAGCTATCTGAGGTGTCCCAGGATCTGGAGAGCCGCCTCTGGCCCAAAGGTGGGCCCTACCCACCTGGCTTGGAAAGGGGGTTTGGACGGGCAGGAGGGAAATGGGAATGCTACCTACCCCCAACTAAGCACCTCTTCTTCTGTGGGCAGGCACCAAATCTTTCAACATGATGTCCCCAACGGGTGACAACTCAGAGCTGCTGGCTGAGATAAAGGCAGGCAAGAGCCTGAAGCCGACACCACAGAGCAAGGGGCTGACCACCGTGTTCTCAGGCAGTGGGCAGCCAGCCTCCCAGGTAGGCACTGGACGGGTGCCCCGCCCCGGCTCCCAGTGCCTTCCCGGTGCTCAGCCCTACTGCTTCTCCCGGCAGCCTGAGTCACCGTCACCGCCACAGCAGCCATCACCACAGCCCTCGGCTTCACCTGCGCCATCTCGGCCCCGGAGCCCCACCCCACCCGCCTCTGGGCCTCAGCCATTGCTCAATGGCAGCATAGTGCCGGCGCCGCCCGCCACCCCGGCACCAGGAGTGCAGCTGGATGTGGAGGCCCTCATCCCCACCCTCGATGAGCAGGGCCGGCCCATCCCAGAGTGGAAGCGACAGGTGATGGTCCGAAAGCTGCAGCAGAAGATGCAGGAGGAGGAGGAGCAGAGGAGGAAGGTGGGTGGGGCAGGGCTTCCTAGAAAGCCCTGGGGTCTGCACTAAGCCTCCAACCTGTCCCCTGTGCCGCCTCTCCACCTGTTTTGACCCTTGGCGAGAAGCAGGAATATAGGATACCCTACACATACCGGTCTCAATCTCCCCGTGGTTAGCTGTTCCTTGAAGGGAGCTGTCAATGTTTACCAAACTCTAAAGTACCTTCAAGTCACTTGGGACCTTATTAAAGAGCTTATTCTGCTTTGGGGACAAGGGTTGAGATTCTGCATTTCTAACAAGCTCCTTGGTGGACCATACTGAGTGGCCGAGAAAGGCTTGCTTTGCATCCAGACTGACCTGAACTCTATCCTGGTACTCTCCAACTGCAGCTACTGAGACTTGTTTCAGCCTCAATCCCCGTATCTGTAAGATGATTTGGTCATCACTAACTGATGGTCACCATTTATTCATCCAGCCAATGTTCCCTGAGTGCCATCCATGTTTGGCACACACTATTGTATCTTCTGAGGGCTCACCACCAGTGAATGTACCAAAGCCAGCTACCAAGGTGGCTGTGGAGGTGTGTGTGAGTGTCAACAAGCAACTTAGTGTCCCTGACAGATAATGGTGTGAGTGTGAGAACCTGCGGTAATAAACAACTAAGGTTTAAAATACTCTGAATGGTCAGGAGCCCAGGGGACTGAGGTGCTGCTCATCTGGCTGCCAGCTGTGGGCTGAGGGGTGATGTAGTAGCCCAAGGTGATGGGTAGGGGAGGCACACAAGAGCTGATTAAGAAGAGTGGGATGTGGAGGAAAGCAGGCAGAATGGGCTGGTCTGGAAGTCAGAGTGGGTGTGTTTTGGGTGTTTGGTGTTTGTGGCAGCTGATGCGAGTCAGGATACAAAGATTCAGCTATCTGCCAGGAAGAGACTAGGCCCCAGAGCATGGGAAGCCTGGGGGCAGGTAATTGGAGGAAGTGGGGCCATCATACTTGTGTGGGAGGTGAGCTGTACTGGCTCTAGATGGACTTGGCCCTAGAGGTGGAGCTGGGTCCCATACATTTTATGGGGTAGGAGACTGTAACTTTAGCTTAAGACTAGAGTCTGGGGGGGCGGGGAGTGAGGTGGCCTTTCATCTAGGCATGTGAAACATTGACCACTGAGACAAGCAGAACTTGGACCCCAGGAAGCCTGAGAAAGGGTCTGTGATCTGGGAGGAACTCTGGGACATGGCTGGGAAATAGCAGGCTGTGGATCGGGTAGGGGAGGGCCTCTGTGCTTCTCAACTTCAACACCTTTCGCATGATCTTTGGGTGGTGTAATGAGCGACCAAGTCAGGCATGGAGACCCAGTCTGCAAGCCTGCCTTCCCTGCCTCAGGCAGCACCGCAGCCCCAGCCAGTGCCCTCTACCAGCAACCAAAGTGAACACTGCTCTGAGTCGGGAGCCGAAGCCTTGCAGCAATGCAATCTCCCCGCCAGCCAGACTGCCTGTCTCTGCAAACGCGGCCCAGCGGAGCCATTACACCACCCAGGACTTGCAAAAGGTCGCCGGCTCTGCTGCGGGAGCTGGGCCAGAGGGAGACGCGCCCCCCTCCCCTCTCTTGTCTTCCCCGCCTTAGCTGACTGCTGCTAGCTCCTGCTGCTATCCCCCGGAAGGCTGGAGGTACTCCCGCGAGCACAACGCCATCCTGGGCCCCTTTGGCGAGCTCATGACGGAGGCCGACATCCTCCGTATCGAACAGCAAATTGAGAACCTGCAAGTGCTGCACAAGGCAAAGAAACTGGAGGCGCGCCTGGAGCAGCTAGAGCTGGAGTTGGAGCAGCTGCTGCCGATCTCGGCCGCTCTGTCGGCGCCACGCTTCACAGTAGATCCACGCCGCATGCACGGCCGCGCAGCCAACCTGCCTGCCTGGTGCAGCAAGATCTCCACGCTGCTCAAGAGTATGGCCACGCTGCTGGCCACGCTGGGCGGCCGGCCCTCACAACTGGCAGAGCTGCTGGCTGCAGACACTGGCCAACCGCTGGCGCCGCTGCCGGATGCACCCTCGAGGCCTGGACCACTCTGTTTGGGCCGCTCTCATTCGCTCAGTTGGTGCCGGGAGGCCGTGGCACGGGAGATCCTCGAATGTGGCGTCTCGGTGCAGCACCTCCGTGCCGCTTACGAACTGCGCACTCAAGGCGCAGCGCCCACTCAGAGCCTGCGCCGCAAGCTCCCTCAGCCTGCTAGCACCCTAGACCGGGAGCCCATCCTCGAGGAGGACTATGTGGCGATCGGTTCCAGTGAGCCGAGAGCCCCTGTCGCCAATGGCCTGTGGACTGCAGAGGAACCCCTCAACACCCTGGACCCACCGGAGCCGTGGCACCGGAAGGAAGCTTTTCCGGAGCCTGAACAGCTAGCTAGCAGGCCGCCACTCTCCACCGAGCTGCCTGGTGTCCAGGACTACATCGACATGCGCAAGGAGCGCATCGTCTACCTCTTCCTGGAGCACTGGCGCAAGTGGACCTTCCAAGGACCTGGGCGTCATGCCCAGGCGCGCCTGCGCAGACTGCTGCCCCGGGTAGTGGCCTCCGGCGCCGGTCCCCTCCCAGAAGCAGATGCCACTGCCCAGCAGCAACCAGCTGGTGAGGACTCGGACCGTGGCCCTGAAGAGCGGCTGCTGCAGCTGCTCAAGCAGCGACAGGTGGTGGGCAAACTGCTGGGCCACTGGAGGAGTCTGTTAAGGCAGGTGCCAGCGTGCCAGGCACCCGGCTCGAAGCTGACACGTGGTCTGTACTGGCCCGAGCACTTTCTGCCACCACTCGACGGCGGCACTCCGCGGAGCTACGACAGTCTCACCCTGGATCTCTTCATGTTAGGCTACTTTCAGCTGCTGGAGATGGGCCTGAGCCGGGAGGAAAGGAAATTCCGCCACCTGCTGTGCTATGAGATGTTCGACCGTCTGGGCAGCCACCCGTGGGAGCTTATCCGCCAGTTCCACCGAGTAGTGCTGGAGGAGGTGGAGGCTGGAACGCGTGGCTGGGACGATGGCTTTGAGGATCTCAGGCGCCAGTTCTTCGGAGATAGCCCCGAGTCTGAGCCGACTCCAGAAGAGGCCCAAGAGAAGGAAGAAGGAGAGGAGAAGGAACAAGACCAGGAGGAAAAGGAGGAGGAGGAGGAAAAAGAGGAAGGGGAAGAGGAGGGAAAACTGGAAGAAGAGAAGAGAAAGAAGGAGGAGAAAGAGGAGAGAGAGGAAGAGGAAGACAAGGAGAGAGAGGAGGAGGAGAGAGAGGAGGAGGAGAGGGAGGAGGAGAGAGAGGAGGAGCCCTCTGAAGAATCTGTTCCTGCTCAAACCCAGCACCTGCCACAGGGGCACTCAGAGGCCCCAGCCCCTGCACCACAGCCTCCTCCCGCTGCACCTCCCCCAACCTCAGACCTGCCTAGTTCAGAACCCCCAGTTGAAGAGCCCTTGGAGCTGGTGTCTGAGATGGGCGAATTCAGCAACGAGGACATTTGCCGCTATATTGACCGGAGCTTCTCCTTTTGGAAGGAGAAGGAGGCAGAACTCTTTGACATCTGACAGCAAATTTAGAGTTTAGTTTTGTGCCTGGATGCCTGTCTGACATCTAGAGGCCAGAATCAGACAGAAAGAACCAGATTCTCAAAAAGCCTGCTTCTCTGGGGCTTTTGAGGTCCCCTAGGAGGGAGAAAGTGAGGCATTTGTGAGATTGGTTAGTCGCAGGGCATCAGGTGTTGCGCTCTATGAAGCCAGGCAGCAGAAGTTAAGGAACTCTGGGTCCCCTGAGGGCAGTGTAGTTCTGTCTGTCCATCTCTGGTTTTGCACTGGAGTTCACAGCTACCTGCTTGGCCACCCTGCAGTGTTCTGTGTGGTGTGTGATGTGCACAGGCCCTTTCTCTTCTGTAACATCCAAGGAATAAAGCACTCTGTTATGGGCTGTGTTGGTGCACCTCTCCCCATGTCGTTATAGCCCCACATATTGGAACGTTCCCTGTCCCACTAAGAAAAGAGCAAGCATGGGCCAGCTGGTCCTCCATAGGAGATTGAGAGCAGCCTGGATCTTCCTGAGCTGACCCAGTGTGTGGGTACAAGTCTGAATCCACCTAGAGATTCTGGAAAGTAGGCTTGGGGCTGTCTAGCCACCTGCTTCATGGGAAATCAGGACCCAGCTACTTTCCTGCTCCTTCCCTGTCACCTCTGATCTATCTGGCTCTGCCTTTAGGAAACTGGTCGGGTCACTGGGGAGCAGAGGGCCCCTTTTGAGCAGGCCATCACCAAGCACCATTATCTGATTGCACCATAGGAGGCCACCAAGAAGGTCTTTTCTTATAAACACATCTATATTCTGCTGTCCCTGAATTCTTCATGCCCCCTGGGTTGGAAGTGCATGTCCCTGGCCTGTAAATCTCAAGTCAAGCTGGTCCTGAAGCTGTATGATTGTGTTTTAGGAGGAAGAGGAGGAGGCCTGGCTGGCCAGTCTGCCTGCCTGGAGACGAGACATTCTTCGGAAGAAGCGGGAAGAGGAGAAGTGAGTGTCTGGAGGAGCTCCTTGGCATGTGTCTTGACTGTCTCTGGGGTTGTGATGCCATCTAATACTATCTCTTTCTCATTCCAGGAAGCAGAAGCGGTAAGTACAGTACTGGCCCCGACCTGCCACTTCTTACACGCAGTCACAGAGGCTCGTTCGCTCCTTCATCCAGCCCATTACTTCAGTCCTTGGATCATAACCTTTCAGCTCCCAATAATGACACAAGACCCTTAATTCCTTAGCACCTGCCCTTCCAAGTCTAGCTCTCATGCTCTGATCACATTGTTACCTAGACCCCCATCTCCTATCATTAACCTAGCTTTTCACCAACTGTGTTAGCAACATACCTATCATCCCACTTGGTAGGTAGAGACAGGATTAGGAGTTCAAGATTATCCTTGGCTTCACAGCCAGTTCAAGGTCAACCTGATCTACAGGTGGCCTTGTCTTAAAACAAAAGACAAACAAATGCCTACCCTTTCTATCCTGGTTTTTCTGTTTTAATTATGTGTATGTCTGCGTGTCTGTGTGTGGGTAGGGCATGTGCCTATGGAGACCAGAGGTGTCGGATCCTCTGGAACTGGAGTTACAAGTGGTTATGGGCCACCCAATGTGGGTGCTGGGAATCCAGTTTGGGTCCTCTGGAAGAGTAGTACACGATCTTAATTGATAAGTCATCTCTCCAGCCCCAAGAACAGTTTTTAACTCCAGGATTAATGAACTTGATCATTCATGTTCCCCTTAACTTCATTTCTGTACCAGGAATCCATCCTGGTGCTGCCAGATAGAAGTATAATGTACACCACATGCATGTTTTAAATTTTGTGGTAGCCACATTGAGACATTTAAAGATATAGGTAAACTTAATTTTAATACTTAATGCATGAAAAGCATTATTTCAGCATTTCAACGTGAGAGTTATTAATGAGAGCTAGGCATATATAGCTCAGCTGATAGGTTCAATCTCCAGTATTACATAAATCTGGAGTCATGGGACTGGAGAAACGGCTCAGTAGTTAAAACACTTGTTGCTCCTCCAGAGGACCCAGGTTCAACTCCCAGCAACCACAACGCAGCTCAAAACTATCTATAACTCCAGTTCTAGAGGATCCAATGGCCTCTTTTAGCCTCCTTGGGCACTAGGCACACATGTGGTACACAGACATAAATGCAGGCAAAATACTCATATATATTCAATTAAATGAAATTGAAAACAAAACAAAACAATAACCAACCCCTGGAGTGATGGCACAGGCCTGTATTTCCAGCATGCAGGAGGATCAGAAGTTCAAAGTAGCCTTGTCAGCATAGCAAGTTTGAGGCTAGCCTGCAATACATCAAGACCCCCCCAAAAAAAAAAATCACACACACACACAAACACACACACGGGATGTTTTTCTTTCCCTTAAAAAAAATTAGTTTTCAAAGGACCATGTGCATGGCAACTTGAACATTTCAGTTGCTCCACAGCAAGCAGGATAAGTGGTGACCCTGTGAACAGAGCACATCTACCCTTATGTTTTTTCAGAGTTGGGGATCAAAGCTCAGTGTTCTAGGCAAGCACTCCTACTGCGGAGCTAGACCCCCCAGTCCCTAGCCTTGTGTTCTGAGAACCTGTCCCTAGCTAGCTTGCTGGCCTGTTCCCCAGTAATGAGATCCCCAACATCTCCACCCTATTCCCTGGTAATTTAGATGGACAGCTCCCTAACAACTAAAGTCCTGTCTCCAATGACAGGCCTCCTGTCATTGATCCCCTGAACTCAGTAACATTCAATCCTCACACAGGGCCACCTAATGACCCAGCACCTCTTTCCAGTAATGCTCCTCCACAAAAACAATCCAGCTTTAGCCTCCGCTTACCCGCTCTTCTGAGTATCCCTGTAACTCTTCCATGAAAACCCCAGGACCTAAGCAGAGAAGGCCCCTTAGCTCCCTCTCTCCCACTGCCGTCCTGGTGTCTGGCCTGCCCCAGTGTCCGTCCCCAGGCATCACTGAGTTTTGCCACCCATAAACAGAAAAGAGGAGGAGAGACAAAAGCAGGAAGAAATGCAGAGGGCGAAAGAACAGTCTGAGAAGCTGCGGACACTAGGCTACGACGAGGCCAAGCTCGCACCCTGGCAGCGACAGGTCATCTTGAAGAAGGGGGAGATCCCTAAGTAATAGGAGTCTCGGCCTCTTGCGTGTAGCCTCACAAGTTCTGAGAGATGGGGAGCGGTCCCCCAGCCCCCGCCCCATCCTGCCAGGTTGGTGCGGAGGGGCTGGGAGCCTTGCCGCCCTTCCCTTCGGTGCCGGAACCCTCCCTGTTCCCCTCCCTGGCCCCACATCCCCGGCCCTGCTGCTGGAGTGCTTGCGTTACTGCCGCTGTCGCCTGGAAAAAGTGCCCAAGCCGCTGACACAAAAAGAAAAAAAAAAAAAAAAAGAAAAGAAAAAGAGAAAAAAAAATGCTTATTTGCATGCTCACTTACATATATTTGCATGTTCGTCTACCTTGTGCTGAGCTCTCCCCAGCCCCGTGGGTGGTGACTTTTCCTGCAGGGCGCACGCCCGGCTGCAGCCCTCTCCCCCGCAGCCCGGAACCCACACTGCCAGCGCATGCTGGGTGGAGACAGACCCCGAGCTCGGGGAAGGGGTTTTCCTCCCTCCACGACCCAGATCTGCGCTAGCCAAGGCTAGGCTGCATTTCTCATTCCCCGGCGAGGGTTTCCTCTCAGTCATTTGTTTACCAGAAACGATGAAACTTGCCTGTCGGGGCGGAGCTGCCGCTCCGAGGGGCCCCACCTTAACTCCCACCCCAGCCCAATTAAGCCCTCCCAGTCCTCAGCCAGGACCTTCGTGCTCCCCTGACTCTTACATTGTCCCAGTGGTATAAGTGGAGGGCCAGGGACCCTGCACCTGTACCTGCAGCTATTCCTGACCCCATCCCCCACCCCCTTCCTTCCCCCATTAAACCTCTATCCGCCAACTGTGGCTCTCATTCACTCTCACTCGCCGCCGCCGCCGCTGTCTTACTGACTTTCTCCTTCTGGGGCCACTGGGTCATAGCGGATGCGTGAGGGGTTGGCGTGGGAGCTAAGGCCACTGGTTTCCACTGTGCGCCGCAGTGCCCAAGGCCTCAGGACCCCTAGCCCACTCAACTCCCGGGGAAACAAAGGGAACCAGAGCGCCACTTGACACCCCTAGCCCCCACTGAAACACCAAGAAGCTACTTAAAATATTTAATACCAAGTCCAAACTCAGGCTGATAAACAGCTGTGCAACCAATCACTTGGCCCCTTCTGGTATTTCTCCATGACGCTCCCCTTAGCTGGAGCTCCGTGGGGCAGGTAAGCAGGGGCGAAGCCACCCGGCGCTGCTACGCAGGACCAGGACCGTGCTAGGGGGTTAGTAAGTGACATAAAATGTCTACACGCATAAGTAACGATACTTAAGGCTCCTGCAAGGGTCACTAGAATGACAAAGTGGTTGGTGGGCCTCACGTCATGGGCCGCCCTGCTGCAGGCGGTTGCGCAGGTCCTCAGCACAGCCTTCCAACCCCATGCGCTCCAGGGCCGCATAAATGGCACCCAGGCCTGCGGGCTGCTGCTGGCGCCAGCGCTTGAGCATCTCGTACTGCTGGTCTCGGAAGCGGCAGATCTCCACCTCCACGGCCTCAATTTCCGCCTCCCGTAGCCCCAGCGTGCGCACGAACTCCTTCCACCGTCTTGCTGGGACCGCATCCATCACATCATAGAGCTGCGGCCCAGGCTGGAGCATAGCAGCCGGCGAGCCTGCAGGGGGCGCTGGCGAGAGCGGAGGTGCCAGAGGAAGGCCTGAGGTGGGATCAGGAAAGTGAGGATACTTTCCGCCACGGGGCTTAATGGACTTCTTTGGGCAGGACAGAAATCACCCAGTGAGGACAGGAAGTCGGCTGTGCAATAACAATGTCCCACCTTGGACTTGGGAAGATGGGGTCAGGCCTCAGGCACTTGGATCACTTACCAAGAGTTCTGTTTGGCAGCTGATTCCAGGGCTGGGGAGCCTGGCTGTAGGCCATCTCCTGAGTCTGGGATAAACCAGGGATCCAGCTGTTGCCTACCAACTGGACAGTGGTGCAGACTTTCCCAGTACTGCCTTGGGGTGCCAGGAGGCTGTGGGCGCTGTCTGAGGCTGAAAGATGGGTAGTCTGGAAGGTGGGAGGGACCAAGTCAGCCATGTGTATCTAGAAAGGCCTCTTTGCCAGTTTCTGGCCAGAGTGGGCATTTCCTGGCTCAGGAAGCAGAATCGCCTCCCTAGATTCTGTGCACGTGTGTGTGCACACACACAGACACTCCCGTGGCCCATCAGGTCTACTGTGTTTGCCTGAAGTCTGTGCCCCACCCCGTCCTTTGGAGGTGTTCAACCTTTCAATGTCTGGCCTGGGGCACTTGTGTGACATGAGTAGATAGTCACTTGAGAGCAGGTGCTGTGGCTGGTCTTCTTCACTGATAACTCAGCCCTTAGCACATTTATCTGTTACAACCATGCCGAGCATGGAGGTTGTCCCTCTCCTAGTTCCAGAAGCTTCCCAGCACTGAGATAGTTACCTGTGGTGAGGTCAGGGTCTCCATCCCAGCTGTATCTGCTGACAGAGACAGAGAGGGCCAGTCAGCAGCAGGCAAGGCCCATAGGCTTGGGCGTTAGTTCAGGGCCTCGAGTCCTTTTGCACCTCATACTCCTTCCCTCAGTTTCCCCATCTGCATCAGAGTTCCAGGGGCTCTGGAGTACCTCTCTTTACCCCAGGCCTCTGGTAACGCATGCGTGCAAAGCACGTATGGACTTACCAGGAACCACGGGCCTGCAAGGCTGGCATCGGCAATACGCACAGATCAGGGTGGCCCCGAGCAGGAGTGAGGCCCCCAGAAGCACCTGGACCCAAAATACTGAAAGGACAGTAACTGGTGAGTGCCAGCCAGCAGCCACCCCCTGCCCCACACTGGCTGTCCCAGCCTTCCCACCAGAATTCCCAGCGTTATCACCTACTCCACTTCCAGCCACAGCAGGCTGCCCCGTAGGCGTCAGGACGGAGTCTGCTGAAACCCCTGTAAAGGGAGTGGGACGGGCTGAAGGCTACCCAGGACTGCCTGACACCGTCCCCATCTGGCAGGAGGTGGGGGCTTCCATCCTGGGAGCCTCATTCTGCCCCAAAACATTCCCTAAGTGTTGCTGAAATGTCACTTGGGTCACTAATATCAACCGTCACTACTGAGCTTCTAGCTAGACTCCACAAGAACAGGAGTTTTCATCTTTAGTTCCTGGATAGTCCGTGCCTAGAATTGGGGTCTATGAGATAGCAGATACTCAATGGATGAGCAAATAAGGTGCCTTTCCCCTTATTACAGCTCTAGGAAGAACATCAGAGCACCCCCATGTTCAGAGGGAAAACCTGAGATCTCTCAGCTAGCCAAGGACTAGCAGCAAATCTAGTCTCAGCCTAAGTTTCAAAGCTCTGTCAGTCAGTGTAACCAAATACATGAGAAATCCATCCTAAACAAGGGGATGGAAGGACTAAGGGACAGTCTGGCAGGAAGTGAAGATATGCCCCTTTATGTATCTGCATAATGCTTTACCATCCTGTTGTCTGAAATGCCTCTTCCATGTCAGAGCCAAGCTGCCCCCACCTACATCTGCCCCCAAAGTCCCCACCCTGCTCCCAGCCTCCCTCCTGGCCCGGTACGGCCCCCTATGTGAGGCAGAACGTGCAGCCATTGCCATGGTCATAGCAGGCAGGCTGGCAGAGCCCTGCAGAACAAGAGATGGTTTGTATCAGGGCAGGAGAGGAGGGAGCTGAAAGAAAGGGGCTTAGGGGTAGACAGCCTAGGATGGGGTACTCACCAGGGGTTGGTGGAGCCGTACAATCTGAGCATGGGTGGCAAGAAAAGGGTGAACTTTCCCTACATGGCTCGGTGGAGCAGACAAGAAGCCGGCCTGACTGGCAGCCACACTGGGTGTCCGACACTGCTGAACAGTTCTTCAGGGTCACTTGAAAAGCTGCCGGGGTGCAGGAATGTGGGAACATGGATGTGTCAAGGCTACTGGGCTCCACGAAGAAGCAGGGGACAACCTCCCAGAGAAGGAGGAACTAGCTAGTCCCACAGGTAGAAGTAGGCAGCTCAGAGTTGACCAGAGGCCAAGGCATGTGGAAACAGGAAGGCCACAGGGGAAAGCAGAGGATGTACTGGAGCAGAATACACGGTGGTGGATCCTCCGTAGTGGACTGAACACAGGAGTCCACGCCCAAAGAGTGGGCCCCAGCCAGCTTTCTGAATGACCCTGACCATGGCCTGTCTACCAGAGTCCCCTGAGCCCTAGGCAGTCCCCTTACCCCCTTCATCACAGGCTTGGCAGCGGGTACAGTCAGTCTTAAAGTGGTTTCCCCTGGTTAAGAAAGTGCCCTGAGGGCAGGGAAGGCAGGTGGAGTCGCCACAGGGTTCTGTGCACGAGGCCTTCATGTAGTGTCCTGTGGAACCCAGGCAGGAGTCAGGGTCAAACCATCCTACCCGCTCCCCGCCTGTCCCTTCCTGTCTCTGGCTCTCTCCTTCCCTCCCAGCTGTGGTCCCCACCCCAGCCTCCCCCAGCCTCAGACTGCTCTCCTTCCCCTGCCTCCCCCTCCTCACCCTTCCAGCCACCTACCTTTTGGGCATCCCCTGCAACAAAACCTCTTCTGTGAGTCACTGGCACAGTCACACCTGCCAGGAGCGCTGCCCTGGCCCTGGCCACCGGGCAGCGGCGGCAGCAACAGCAGCAGCAAGAGAGCCTGGGGAACACGTGCTGCTGACCCCTGTGTGGCTGCCCCAGGAGGCCACCTCTCCCTCCCAGGCTCTTCCTCCATTCCAGAGCCCAGCCTAATTGCTTTCTGAGTAGCTCACTTCTCGGGCTCCTGGGCAGAATGGGGTGGGCTATGGAAGGGGGACCGATTTCCTTCTCTCTCCACAGACCCAGCTTATGAACAGCAGAGAATGGCCCGTTGACAGCCCTTTGCCCATTTCCCCAACAGCCATCGAGACCGGACCACCCTGCCCCCAACCAGGCCTTCTGCGAGGTGGAGGCCCCCAGACCCCTCTTTCCCCGGAGTGTGTGCTTCCTCTTAGCGGAAGGGCGCGCCCGAACCTCTAACTAGGTCGCGGGTGGAGGCAACTCAGCCCTCAAGGAGGTCGGAGTTGAGACGCCACTCCCCGCCACTCCAGGAGAGGCTTAGCTCCCGGGCTGCAGGTCAGATTCCAGGTTCTTTCCTGGCCTCCCTCGACCCCACTCACCTCCGTCATGCGTTCCAGCGGCAGTGGCTCCATGGCGGTCTGCACCACCTGGGCCCTTTGGGTGCTACTCTGGTCGCGCAGCCCGGGGCTTCCCCACTAGCCCAGCCGCTGTGTTCCTAGCCCAGAGCCTGCCCGCCCGCCCGCGCCATCCAGAAGAGCCCGCGCCATCCAGAAAAGCCCGCCTCAGGGGATGGCCAGGGTGGGGTCTGCCACTCTTCCGCAGCTAAGGGGGTGTGGCTCTCTACCAGCCAGAGACCTTCCCCGGTGTGGTGCACACTGGAAGCCGACACAGGCTTTGACTGAGGCCGCACGGGACAAGGCTGCATCCTGAAGCCACCCTGGGCCTAGCTTTAGCCCTGAGAGCCAATGCTTAGAGGTGGGTCCAGGGCAAGTGTCCTTTCTCTGGGCCTCAAGTACTTGGGATGGGGTGGGGAAACCTAGGTAGGAGACCTACATCTCCCCGAACAGGTGTGTCGGGGGTTCTGGGATGGACAGAGCCCTGAGTTCTAAGGAATCCGAAGATTCAGAGAGGGCAGGATCAAGAAGCATTTCCTGGTGGTTCCAATTCATTGTGGCCTCCGGGCTGTGGCAGGAGGCAAGTTTGGTCTTGGGGTGTTGGCCCACAGTATCTTTCTTCTTCCTCCACAGGGGCCCCACTACAGCTGGTGAGACACACACACACCCGGCCAGCTCAATGCACGTGAGCAGGGAACAGATGGGGTCCCAGAAGCACAGGACTCTTTCCAGAACAGTATAGACAAGTCTTTATAAAAGATCCAGACTCAATAAATACGCAGCTTGACAGAGCCCAGGCCAAGCCTCAGAGGCCAGCATGAGTCCAAATGAGGGTGGCGGGGAGGGCAGTCTGGGAACCTAGCCCGGAGGACCAGCCATGTCAAGAGCAGAGGGAAAGGGGCTGCCTGGGGAGGGGGTGGAGCATGGCAGCCAGGGCCCGGAACTCTGTGGAACCCTTCTCCATTCCATCCAGTCCGGCAAAGTGCAAACTGACCACGGGGTGATGGGTACCATTCTGCCTGGCACTCTGGCACACGCACACGAGGCAGCTGTGAAGCAGGTGCCACATCCCCCAGGCGGCACGCTCTCTGCTGTCCCTTAGTCAGTGTCACCCTTGGGGTCTCCTTCCGCTCAGACCTCTCTGCAAGGGGTGGGGAGAAAGTCCATCCTCGGTTGTCCAGTCACAAAATGGCTCTAGCTAACCCTCCTGCCCACCATGGTCCTCGGCCCCATTCACCGCTGCCTCTACAGATACCCCCACCTGGCGCTGGGACAGGTCTAAAGCTCCTCTTCACACTCCATCCCCAAATGCTGATGCTGGCATGGGTATTGTCACTACCCACTCCCAAGACTCAGTACTACCCACACCATCGCACTGAGTCATCTGTCCCTCCCCCAGCCGGGCCACTCACGAGGCAGTGAGCGTGGAGTTAAGCAGCAGGGTGGTCCTGATCCGATAGAGCTGGGCCAGGGTCAGCTTCCTATGCTGAGCAGAGATCCCCGGTGGCGGCTCAGGCTGCACCCTGGGAGCAGCCCCAGAAGGGACGTCTTTCCTTCTGGCAGAATCTGTAGGTCCCCTAGTGGAGTGGCTGGCTCTGTTCTCAGGTTCTGACAATTCAGAGCCATGGCTAGGGCCACAGGCCCCTGGGCAATTCCAGCCAGGGCCACCTTCCGGAAGGGAGCTCCGAGTCCTAACCCCAGAGGCCATAGTGATCAGGCATAGTTCTGACAGGCTGCGGCTAGGAGCTGGGGGCACTACCCGGGTGGCAGTTCCCGACAGCAGCTGCAGGAGGCTGGCCTCGGATTTGGACTTGAGCAGGCGGGGCAGACGAGGGAGCAGCTGGACAGGAGTGCGGCGGCGGCGGAGGCGGGGTGAGGACGGGGGCGAGGGGGTCTGCGCTAACTCCAGGGGCTGGGGCACAAGCTCGACCACAGGGGCTGGTGCCCCAAAGTCTTGCAGAGAAGTGGGGGACAGGGTGCCATAGGCAGAGTCCATGGAGCAGGAGCGGCCGTCCACTGGGCCCAGGGGCAGCAGCTCACTAGTGGGAGTGACGGATGAAGCGGTGGTGCTAAGAGAGGTCTCGTCCGACTGGGAGCTGAAGGGACCTCGGCCAAACTCTGGAGAAGACAGTGTCTCCCCAGGCTCTACCACAACCATGGCCAGGGTCTCGGTGGAGCCATCTGAGGCACTGTAGGGGCCAGAAGGAGAGTCAGCCAGCCAGAACATACCCCAAAACCCTAAAGCAGCCTAGGGAACTAGGGGCTCGAAGCCCAGATGTAGTCCCTGTAGCCACTGACATCAGCACCCTCTCCTGACCTGAGGCAGCTGTGCACAGGCTGCGGACAGGTACAGGTCATGGGTCATGTGGCAAACTGTCCTCCAAGCCTGGCCTCTAGCAGGAGACAGAGCTGTCCCCTAACACTCCCACTGGGTTCACAACATGACACTCTTCAGAGGAGAATCCCTATCAGTGTCCTGGGCTGGCTGGGGTAACTTGTCCTGATGGACCCCACTGAATGTTTTTATTGTGTGTGTGACCTGCTCTGCTGTGCAGCCCTAGAGCTTGCTACAAAGACCAGGTTGGCTTCAAACGTTTGGCAATCCTCCAGCCTCACCTCTTAAGTGCTGCGATTGTGTCTACCTGTCTGTCTGTCTTTCTTTCCTCCCTTCCTTTTTTTCTTTCTTTCTTTCTTGAGACAAGGTCTCACTTTGCTGCCCAGGCTGGCATAACTTGAGGTAATCCTCCTGCCTCAGCTCTCAAGTGCTGGGATTATAAGCAGGAGGCCCCAGCTTACCAGGCAGTCGTGGGTAAACATACCAGTGCTGGGAACTGAGGCTGTTGCTGCTCTTTCGCAGGATGGTGGGGGAGCTGGCAGCTGAGGCACTGCTCTCCTCACCCTCCTCATGCTCATCTTCCTCCTCTTCCAGGCTCTGCAGGTGCTGGTTGCCTGGATGCTCCTGTGCACACAGCTGTGCACGCAACTGCTGCAGCTGGTTCTGCAGGTCGAGTGGGCACAGATACCGAATGAGCCGTGGGAACAGACCCCATGTCCCTGCACCCCTCCGTCACTCGGGTCTCACCTGGGCATTGTAAATAGTGTCCACCCAGCTTCGGCATAAGGCCTGGCTGCTGGCCTGGAATGTGTAGGCACCCACAGCACTGTGGAATTCATTCAGGTAGATGAGGACGAAGGAGCCTGGTCATGGAAGGGCAGGTTAGTATCACAGCCCCTGCCCATGGCAGCCCCTTGACCAAGAACAGGGGCCAGAATTCCTCACCAGGGTCCCGAAGCTCCCGGCACACAATCTTATCCACCAGCAGTGGTGGCCTGATGACCTTGGTTCTCTCTGCCTTCTTCACGGCCTTAGTCACCAACAGTAGATCGGTGAACAGGAAGCAGTACACGTCCATCTGTGGAGGGGAGGCCAGAGTTGTAGGGTCATGAATAGGACCCTGGGGTGGCAGGAAACCTTTGTCCTTGTCTGTTGTTTTTCGAGACAGGGTTTCTCTGTGTAGCCCTGGCTGTCCTGGAACTCACTCTGTAGTCCATGCTGGCCTTGAACTCACAGAGATCCACCTGTCTCTACCTCTAGAGTGCTGAGATTAAAGGCGTGCGCTGCCGCCACCACCACCTTGGTTAGTTTGTCAACTTGACACAAGCTAGGGTCATCTAGGAAGAGGGACCCTCAACTGAGAACAACACTTCCATCAAATTCGCCAGCAGACAAATCTGTGGGGCATTTTCTTGACTAACGATGGATGTGGGAGGGCCCAGCCCACTGTGGGTGGTGCGATCTCTGGGCAGGTAGGCCTGGGTTGCATTAGAAAAGCAAACTGAGCAGGCTATAAAGCAGCGTCCCACCATGGTCTCGGCTTCATTTCCGGCCTCTGGGCACCAACTTCCCTCAATGATGGCCTGTGACACGGAAGCGCAAGCCAGGGACGACACTCTTTCCTACCCAAATTGCTTTTGACCATGGTGTTTTATCACATCAATCAAAAGCAAACTAGGACCGTTACCATATAGTTCACTAGGCAGCTCTGAACCAGACTCAGGCCCAGCGGAGAGCCCCGGGAAGGATGGTATCTACAGAGCAGGAGCGGGTGGGCCAAGGGCTCTGGTGTGGGGTGGTCCAAGGTCACCTTGCTGTCTCTCCCCTCCTTCATCCTCAGGCTCCCTTCCAGCAGCAGCTGCCGAGTCTCTTCAGGGGAGGCGCCAGGCATGGGTGCTGTCAGGTCCAGATGTAAAAATTCCTTCAAGAGCTTTAGGTGGGGTACAGATGTCAGTGAGGCCAGGGCCAAATCTGAGAGGCCCCCCAAGGGAGATCACACCCCCCTCTTACAATCGGAAGCTTCCAGAAGGACACTGGAGACTCAGTGCCCACCTTATCCACCTCATCATTGCTGCCTTCCACAACTTCGTAGGCATCGATCCGGCTCACCACCCCCGCCAGCCGCTGGCGCTCCTGGCGCTGCCGCATGCACGTGTTCACGTGGTGGATGAAGCATTCCACAGAGCTGATCTGAAGACAGGCGATGATGGAGTTTAGGGCCAGGATCTGGGAGAGACAGAGCCTGGGAGGGCAGTATGCTCACAATTCAGGTTACCATGGTGATCACTGCTTCCTTGGCGCGGGGCTCATCAGTCTTCCTCAGCACGGACTTGAGCAGCAGCGGGTATTTGGTGAGCCGCTGATGGGGCTTGGCCAGCATGTCACTCAGCCTCAGCCTCTGACACTGCTGGTGCTTCTCAGCCCACTGCGGAGTGGGGGCGGGGCTCTGGTTAACCTCGCCCCTCAGGCCCCGCCCACCCAGTCGTGCCCAAGGTCCCGCCCCTGAGCTCCAGGCCCTCACCGTGACATAGGTGCGGAATAGGTCGTTGTCACGCAGCAGGCCACGCATGTACTCCATGCAGCCCTCCTCCTCCATACAGTACCGGATGTATGGCTTGAAGAGTGAGCCGAACTGGCCCGGAGCAGAACCACATACAGTACCTGTTACCTCAGGATTCCAGGGACCTCAGGGACTTCCCACACCACCCCAGCGGGAAAGCATTTCCAGGTGAGGATACTAAGCCTCAAAGTCACCACCCACAGCCGGGTGGTAAGGACTCAAATCCAGGTCACCAACACGAACTACTTTCTCTCTCGGCCACAGAGGGTTAGTGGGAACTAGAGGGGATGTATGGGCAGGCAGGATCTAGCCCCGGGGGTTTTTCAGTGTCTCCGCCCATACCATCTTGAAGCCTTTGAGAAAGTCCCCAGGCTGCAGCAGCGCCCGTGTGCGCCGCGCCTTCTCCAGCACCGGCACCATCACGCTGCTCCACAGTCCCCGGTGCAGCCGCGCGATCTCAGGGATGTTGCCGAACAAGCGGTCAGCCTCCACCTGGGCGAACACAGGCGAGGCTCAACTCCGGCCCGGCCCGCCCACTCCTCCCGGCTGGCCCCGCCCCTGCCCCTAGTACCTCCCCCGACACCGCCCCAGGCCAGGTCGCACCTCACACAGGAGCCCCGACTCTTGCAGGTTGAGAAGACAGCACAGGAACAGCTGTAGGGGGAGGGGACGCTGCAGCAGGGGTGTGGGGGGGGGGTTGTCCCGACCCTGAGGTCCTGCCCAGACTCTTAAGTCACCCCTTAAGTCCCTATAAGGTCCTGAAGCAGCCAGAGGGTGTTTGGACCTCCACGCCCGGAAGCGCCAACCCACCCATGGTCCAACTGGGGGAGAGCTGGGGAGAATGGTTTCTCAGCATACCTGGAATGCTCTGGGTCACCTCTGCCCTGGTTGAGCCCCCTCCAGGAAGGCCAAGGCCAGTGCTACCCTCCCCAGTTGAAATCCTCTAAGTGCCTACCCACTGTGTCCCGGCCAGGATGTCCTCCTGAGAACCTGGCATACAGCTTGTGTTGAGAAGCAGCCCTGAAACAGCTGGGGCCTTACCTAGGTTAAGTCAGCTTCCCCTGGCCAGCACGCCTGACACCCCTCCCAGGCACCTGCAGGACTCCGCTCCCCAGAGGCAGCCTGCAGCCCGCTTTCAACTACTGTCAGGCAAAGGCCCAGCTTAGCTGAGGGTACACTCAGTTGGCCTCTGCAGGTGGGAAAGCGATGGGGCCCGGGTCCTACACTCACGTTGGTGATCACTCGCAGCTTCCGGATGTAGGAGACCTCTGTGTGCAGAAGTTCCCACACTGCCTCCTGCTGGTGGTACTGCCGCCGGGTCAGCTTCTACAGGGAGAGGTAAGACAGGTTAGCCAGGAGCCTCGGGTGTGTGGGGACAGGCCGGGAGGGTGGGCAGCACCCAGCTTCCTCATTTTCTTGACAGGAACACAGAGATCTGGAGGGGGAGACTACCCTCCCCATCATGTGGATTGTGACTGTCAAGATCTCCAAGGTAAGGGCTGGAGAGATGGCTCAGAGGTTAAGAGCAGTGGCTGCTGTTCCAGAAGTCCTGAGTTCAATTCCCAGCAACCACAGGGTGGCTCACAATCATCTATAGTTAGATCTGGTGCCCTCTTCTGGCCTGCCTGCATACATGCAGATAGAATACTTGTATACATAATACATCTTTACATAATAAATCTTTAAAAAAAAAAAAAAAAAAGCTATCCAAGGTAACTCCACTATAATGGGCCTCCTCTACCACTAACAGCCAAGCAACCCACTTTCTCTAGCTACACCCACCTCATGCCCATCAATGAGCTCCCTCCAGCTGTCCTCCAGCCTCAGGCTTGCATTGTCTTCATCCTCATCCTCATCCTCTTCCTCCTCCTCCCAGGAGTCATGGTCAAAGCGCAGCCTCCGTGGCATCCGGGGTAGCCCGAAGAGGCTGTAAGCATGGAGCTTGCCCTCCAGCTGCTCCATCTTGTCCACTTCCTGGAAGAAGACCCAGAGCCAGAGTCAAGGTCAGGGTCAGCTGGCGGCTCTTCCCTGAGCCCAGGGCGCCACGTACCCGACCCAAGGCGCTAGTGCTGGGGCTGGAGCTGAAGAAACCGCTGAAGCGACTAGCTGCCCGGTTCTTCCAGCTCTCGTTGGTGCCGATGCTGGTGCCTCCACTGCTGCCGACAGGCAGAGAACAGCTGGAAGGCGCGGAGGGCTCCTGCCCGGGGATGCTCGTCTCCCCCAGGAACTCAGACATGTTCTTGCGACGGCGGCCAGGGGCCTGGCCAGGGAGGAATGGTCAAGTGCAGCTCCCACCAGGGTTTCCAGAACACACATCAACAGGCAGAAGTGTCTCTGCATCCTTGACCCAGGGTACCACCTCCCCTGAGACCCAGATGTCCAGACCTCAGCTACTGTCCCGGGCCACCCAGCCATAAGCAGGAAACAGATAGGAAGAAACACACACACACACACTCAGAAACACCCACAAGCACAGCTTCAAAAAGTCCCATTGGGGCTGGAGACGTAGCTCAGCAGAGCTAGAACAAAGAACCAGCTGCTCTTGCAGAGGACCTGGGTTTGGTTCCCATCACCCACATGGTATCTCACAACTGTCTGTAAGAACTCCAGTTCCAGAGGATCCGATGTCTGTTAGAGCCTCCCAGGGCACTGAATGTATGTGGTACATACATGCAAGCACAGCACTCACACATAAAATAAACATTTTTTAAAATTTAAATGCTAAAAAAAGAGAAAGAAATGAAAAAGAAAAAAGAGCCAGGTGTGAGGGCGCACACCTTTAAACTTAGCTCTTGGGAGGCAGAGCCGGTGTGATCTCTGTGACTTTGAGGCCAGCCTGGTCTATATAATGAATTCCAGGACAGCCAAGGCTACACAGCCTCAAAAATAAACAAATACGACAGAAAATAAAAGGGACAAGACCCATGAAACACTCATACCCAGTAGGTAACATATTCTGACTTTCCAACACAAATGTACTGTTGGAAAACATCATTCTTCCTGCCCCACAGATCAACACACTCCATGTACTCTGACTCCCTGGACACTAGAACAGAGGCAAAACCCACCGTCTAGACTAGTGCCATTCAGAGAGAGACCCTGTCCTCACAGCCAACCACACCTTGCAGAAGCGGGAACTAAGCCCTAAGAGCAATGCAGTGGAGAGTCCCGGATGACTCTTCCTCAGGAGGTGCCCCGCCCTACCTCCATCCCGACGGGCCCTCCTGCTCACCAAGATGTCCAGACTATGCTCTCGGCGGCTCTGAGGGTCCACACGCTCCGAAACAGGGGGCCCAGCCCCAGTGGGCCTCAGGATTGGCAGACTGAGGGACTTGGAGTCCTTCACTCCCTGTTCCACTTTGCCCTCGTCTCCCGGCTTGGCTATGTGTGAGCACAAGAGGTCCTCAGTGCCCAGGTATGGGAGACAGAGGGGCCCGAGCTCTCCCTCCCCTGAGGATTCAAGTCTAGGCTTAACTACCCTCCCTGGGAGCCCCACCTCCAGCACCAGCGCCCAGCAAAGACACCTGTATGTTAATGAGCTTGTTCAGGAGCATGGCCAATGGGAACCTGAGCCCAGGAAGGACTCCCTAGCCAGGAGGCTCCAACGAGCCCCAGTCACCCCCCAGCTAGGTGGCCGGTGGAAGCTGCTGCTCTGCTCACCTTTGACCCTTAGGTAGTGTCCCCCAAACCTGTAGGCCTCAAATGTGAGGGACAGGGGCGTGTTGGATTGGTCCAGGTAGATATCCACTTTACCCAACGCAATGCCCTTCCTTTCAAACACAGGCAGCAACACCTCCCTGCCCCCCAGGAAGAAATACGTGTTTTAGGGGAACACTCACGTGACTCCCCAGCCCATCCACAGACACAGTTCCGGCCACCTCCCCAATAAAAACAAGAAAAGCAGCATGCAGAGCATCATCAGACATAGGTGCACAGATAAACCCGCCCCCGGGGTTTTACAGGTCCCTCTGGGGCATAGCTGTACAGTCAGGATTAGAGTGCACAGGTTAGCCTCGTGAAGATGTCACATCCACACAGGCCTGCCCACAGGAAGGGTGCACAGATGCATGGGAGTGCACAGACACACATATCCACAGACAGACACAGACAGGCAGGCAGGCAGGCAGGCAGGCAGACAGACACTCATGCTCGCAATGTAGAAACTGTGCGCCCTGACAAAGGAACTATATCTATGTCCTACCCCCACTTCCTCCTCAGGCCCTACCCCAGTGACTTCTTCTTCATGGCTGGCACAATTTCTGTTTCAATGTCCACGTTGAGGTCAAATTTCAAGGTGAAACACTCCTTGCTTGGGTCCTGAAAATACATGCATCTGTTAGCATCTCCACTGCCACCCCATTGCTTACCCTACACACCCTGTGGTCCAGATGAAAATCCCAACAGGGAGGTGACAGCCAGCGACCTCCCAGCCCTACTCCCGGAGAGGATCCCAGTGTTTCACCTGCCCAAGAAGTTCCTACCCCCCAACATACTTGGGCCAGGCGGGCAGCTCTGAGCTATAGGGTAGGAAGGGAGGGGCATGCTCATCCAGACCTCATCCCTGGCCTGGAGTTCACAGTAGGGAGACCTGACCCAGGGAAAGAAAAGGTCAGGAAGAGAAGGGGGTTTTCTGGGAGCCTTGGCGGTCAGCCTTCCTGGCTCCTTACATCCGTGTGTCTCCTTCTTGCTTTCTTCTTGGAGATCTTTAGGCCAGTGCTCTTCTGGTCCCTGTAGGGAAGCAGATGTTGAGGTGCTGGTGGGTCCTCCCCAGTATGGGAAGTAAGTGGGAGTCTTGGTAGGCCCCGCCCTTCATCAGTTGGAAGTAACTTGGATGCATTGTTCCCGGCTGCCTGTGTGAGATTGTCTGCCCTCTGGTGGCCAACAAGAGAGTCACACACAACAGGCAGTTTCCTTACAAATGAAGGCAAGGCAGGGATGCAGGGGGGGTCAATGCTCAGTCCTCTGGAGGAGGTCCCTGAGGTCCCTGGCCTGGCTCCTATGATGGCTGCTCTGTCCATGGACCACACTTACCCTCTTCCATCCACACAGCTCTCCTCCTCCTCCTCCAGGTCTGCAGCAGGGCTGGTGCGTGGGGGACAGGATCGGGTGGAAACATTCCGGGCCAGAACAGAACCTTTGGAGAAAGGGAGCAGGGGTTATGTATGACCCTACTCCCTCTCTGGTCCGTCCTTAGCCCTTAAATACGCCCTCTTCCAAAGGTAGAGAGCTTAGAGCTCCCAGGGGCTCAGACCTGCAGTCTGCCAAGAATAGGATCTATCGTTATTTATTATCCATGCCCCAGACCCAAAAGGACCATAGGCCCTGGCATGATACACTGGTGATGCCCCACCCCAAGGACAAACACCCATAGCCTCAGGTACCTTTCGATAGCATGAGGGTAAGAAAGCCATGCCTCAGGGGCTATGTCAGACAGGGACCAAGTCCATAGCTCTTCCTTTTAGGCTTCCCCTCCCCCTCTACCATAACCACACCTGAAGTCCCAGGAGCCCTGGGGGAGTGGAGAGGCCCTTTGTCTTTCTTACCAGCTGGGAAAGGTGAGAGTTGGTCTAGGTGCCTTCCAGAGCCAGTCCCTATTCAGCAGGATGGGTTTCTAATTCCCTCCCCCAAGTTCCTTCCAACCACAGTGGCCACCAACCTGCTCTCCCAGGCCAGCGGCCTGGTATGGAGAGTTCACCCAGAAGTTGCTGGCCCCAAGGACAGGCAGAATCAGGAAGAAAGGGCTCCTGTGCTGGCCCTGGCCAGTGGCAGGGACAGCTGTGGGAAGTGAGAGGGTGTATCTCTAGATTTGTATTTCGTTCTTACGCTCTTCACAAGGCTCTACCAGGGTTCCAATAGCTACCCAAGCACTGCTTCCAACAAGATAGGGAACTCTGAGCTGCCCAGAGAGTCCTAAGGGCCAGGCCTGGTCCTCGGGGCTTACCTTGTGGGGGCAGGTCAAAGCGAACGTGCCCATCATAATGCATAGCGCTGTGGAACTTGCTGTCACAGGCCTCACACAGGTTGAGGGGCCCCTGGCGATGCAGCTGCTGGCAGTCGGCATGATGGCATACCTGTGGGTGAAGGGTGCGGTCAGGATGGGCTCGAGACAGACAGACTAACACACCAAACACTCAGAGCACTGCTGCAGTCATCCACCACCTTCTTCTCCACCAGGAGCTCTCCGCTTCCCTTAGTCATCTGGACAACCTTCCCCGAGGACCCACTGCCTGTTTCCAAGGAAGGAGGAAAAAACAAGTCCTGCTCTTGAGACTTCAAAGGATCGACAGTGGGGTGCGGCTACTAGGGCCTTTCTGGCAGGAAGAGGCCCCCAAAAGAAGAGCCCCCCAAAGGAAGCTTGAGACTGTTCTTCAGTCGGTACTGGAACACCTTGAATTGGGATAAGCCTCAAGCCTGGCTGCCTGGGCCCTCTGCTGTCAGGTCTATGGCCTGCCTGAGCCTTGAACAGTAGACCCCACCTGGATCGCTACAGACACACATGGAGCGACTGAGGAGCCCAAAGCAGGTGCTGTGGCACACACGCACACGCACACGCACACACAGCCCCTGCCTGGAGACTATGTCTGCATTTCTCATATTTATCTATGCTTATCTGTTCCTCCCCCTTCCTGGAGAACTGTCAGCTTTATTTCCTTCTAACTGCCAAGGGCCTAGCCTCCAACGGCTTGACCCTAACACAGTCCCATTTTGATTCCTGCTTTTCCATAAAAAAATAAAAAATAAAAACCAGAAGCTAGCAAGACGTCCACAGCCTCCCACCTCCATGTCCGCCACACACCCAGGGCTGCTGGGACTTCCTCTGATTGGCCCTGATCCAATCTGCAGCCAGCTCTTCCTCCAGATCTGCCCACACACTTTCACCCCAGACTCTCCCATTTCCTGCAGGGTCAGGTTTCTCTCCATCAGCACCGGGCACGCTACCCCTCCACCTCATAAACAGAATCCTGGGCTCGCTGGACCCTCCGGCAGCTGCTCCCTTTCCCTTTCAGGAAAAGCCGCACCAGTCTGTCTTCACATCCCATTCAACTCTCTGCTCTCCCTGCCTCGGCCTCACTCTATAAGTCAGGCAGGCCTCAAACTCAAAGCAATCCTCCTGCCTCAGCCTCCCTAGTACTAATATTACAGGCATGAGCCACCATACCTGGCTTTCTCCCAGTTTTCATCTTTAAATACGTCAAGCCTACAGAGAGTTATAAGAATAGTTCAACCTTCTGGATTCTGAGACGATACGCCACGTCACATCTGCCTCCTCTCACTCTGTCACCACGTCTGGTTGGAGCAGAAATCCCACACAGCCCTGAGCTAACAAGGGCCCCAGAAGTGCGCAACTCCAGTCACTCCTCTCTGCTGTCTTCAGACTCTCACTAAGTTGCCTTGAACCTGTGGTCCTCCTGACTCTGGCCCTCGAATACCTAGGACAACAGGCCTGTATCACCAGTCCTAGCTGCTGCATTTTTCCCCCCAAGACAGGGTTTCTCTGTGTAGCCCTGGCTGTCCTGGAACTCACTCTATAGACCAGGCTGGCCTTGAATTCACAGAGATCCACCTGTCTCTGCCTCCCGAGTGCTGGGATTAAAGACGTGTGCCAACACCATCCAGCTTTTTTTATTATTATTAATTATTACTCTGTGTGTGTGTGTGTGTGTGTGTGTGTGTGTGTGTGTGAGACGCGCATGGACCAGCAAAGGACCTTTTAGAATAAATTCTTTTTTTTTTTTTTTTTTTTTGGTTTTTTCGAGACAGGGTTTCTCTGTGTAGCTTTGTGCCTTTCCTGGCACTCACTTGGTAGCCCAGGCTGGCCTCGAACTCACAGAGATCCGCCTAGCTCTGCCTCCCGAGTGCTGGGATTAAAGGCGTGCGCCACCACCGCCCGGCTAGAATAAATTCTTGCTGGGCAGTGGTGTTACACAGAGAAACCCTGTCTCAAAAACCCTAAGTAAATAAAAAGGAGTAAATTCTCTCTCCGCACTGTGGCTTTCTGGAATGGCACAGGTCGTCAGCCTTTCTCACTTTTACTTACTGAGCCTTCTGGCGCACCATCTCCCCTTATTTATTTATTTGTTTGTTTGTTTAGAGATGGGTTATTTCTTGCATTACCCACCTCCTGCCTCAGCCTTCCAAATAGCTGGGACTTGTGCCAGCAAGATTTTCCTTAAAACCCCACATAATGTCCAAACCTTGACAGATTCAAACTCTTGTGTTCCACGCTCACACTTCCTCTCCTGACTACCTCACGGCCTTCACAAACCCTCCTACACTGTACCCGATATGAAATCTAGGCTTACACAAAAGTTTACCTTTTCTTCTCTTTTTTTATTCACAACATTGACTTTTTAGAGTGTCTGAATGTTTGACCAGGACAGGACATCACTGATTGATTCAGTGCACTGGATATAGAGATCACTTGGGGAATCTCCCTAAACCCCTTTTCTCCTCATAGTTGGTGCGTGTGTGTGCGTGTGTGTGTGTGCGTGTGTGTTTGTGCTCACGTACACCCATGGAGGCTAGAAGAGTGAGCGTGTATGAGGGTTATGGTGGGGGGGTGTAGAAGAGTTTCAGGTTGGTGGTTTCAAGCCACCCAGCATGGGGGCTGGGCACTGAACTGGGTCCACCAGAGGAGCAGTAAGTGCTCTTACCCGCTGAGCCATCCCTCTAACCCCCTGGTAGTTAACGAAGAGTCAGGGGCTAACACTTGATTTGTAATCGTCTCCAGTCACCTCAAGGGCTTCCACAAACACTGATGGTGGTGCCTGAATCAGTCATTCCTGCCATGGCTGGAGTGGGTATAGAAATTCCCCTTTTCTTTTTCCTGGGCAGGACGGGAGGTTTAAGAGGGTCTCAAGTACCCCAAGCTGGCCTCCAACTTCCTATGTAGGAGGATAATCTTGAACTCGGTCTCTGGGCTTTTTTTGTTTTTGTTTGTTTGTTTTTGTTTTTTTGGGTTTTTTTGTTTGTTTGTTTTTTGAGACAGGGTTTCTCTGTGTAGCCCTGGCTGTCCTGGATCTCGATCTGTAGACCAGGCTGGCCACAAACTCACAGAAATCCGCCTGCCTCTGCCTCCCGAGTGCTGAGATTAAAAGTATGAGCCACTACCGCCCGGCCAAACTTCATCTCTGTTTATTTTCCTTTTTGTTTTTGTGGGTTTGTTTGTATCATACATGAGTGTTTTGCCTGCACACATGAATATACATGTACCATAAGCATGTAGTGTCCACAGAGGCCAGAAGAGAGTGCCAGATCCCTTGGAAATGGAATTACAGGTAGTTGGAAGGGACTACAGGAGTGCTGGGAATCCAACCTGTGTCTTTTAGAAGGGTGGTCAGTGCTTTTGTTTTGTTTTGTTTGCCTTTTAAAGACAGGGTTTCTCTGTGTCGTTTCAGTGCCTGTCCTGGAACTCGCTCTGTAGACCAGGCTGGCCTCGAACTCAGAGATCCTCCTGCCTCTGCCTCCCGAGTGCTGGGATTAAGGACGTGCGCCACCACGTGCTTTTAACAGCAGAGCCAATATCTGCAGCTTTAACACTGCTGCCCTGGGGGCTTCTCAGATAGATGACATCACTAGACTGCTAACTGCTCTCCCCTGGATGATCAGTCATCCATGGCGGGTCAGAGGGGGCCCTGTTCCAGGAGGACTCACACCATATCCACTCAGAACCCTCCAGGGACTCTACCTCACTCTGAGTAAGAATAGAAAGTCCCCACCCAAGCCCTGACACCAGCTGGAGCCTGGCCTGCAATGCTAAATGCCTGCAGATCTTTCCTCCATGGTCTCCTGTGACCTTGTCGCCAGCCTCACAACCCTGCTCCACAAGGAGTGACACTTTATTCCACCTGACTCAAAGCCCGATCTCCAGGCCTAGACACACTCCAGTTGTCAGCTTTTGTGGCGAGTGTCTTTCTCCACTGAGCCATCTTGCCAGCTCAGTACTCAGTTTATTAATTAGGCGCTGGAGAGTGTTGGCTGAGGGTGCCTAAACAGAGGTGTCCAAGGTGACAGATGGGAGGAAGATGGCCAAGACAGCGGAGGAGTGACTGAAGTAGGGAACGTCAGGGAGAAAGAGGTGGGGGGGTCAGAGCTCCTATGCCAGTTTCTGGGTCGTTTCCTCTCATCCTCATTTTACACGTGAGGAGTGGGAAGATCAAAAAAGTGAAGTAAACTGCCAAAGGTTACACACCAGCAGAGCCAGGCTTGAGTCAGGGTGTGTCACGCCGGACCTCAGATCACTCACTTTCCTGCCAGGTATCAGACAATGGAGAGATGAACGGGTAGGGGGAAGTGGGGGAGGTAGAGGTGGACCCCTGTCAGCCTTGAGGGAGGGTGGTTTCCAGGAGAAATCAATCCTAGTTGGATGTCCGCTGTTTGGGCTCTTGTGTCTCTCTGTTCCTCCAGACAGAGAAGGATGGGACATATTAAACAAAAGTCGGCAGGTGGCCCACTTGCCCCAGGGGAGATGACAGGATCTGGGTCCCTTGCTCGAAGCAATGGACATTATGATGACCCAGATTCCTGGCAGTGGGTGGTCAGGGCTTAAAAATATTTGCAGTTCCTGTTTTAATCCACTGCTAATGAAGGCAGGAAAACATGTACCTACCTAGAGCCCCGAATTCCAGGGAATGCAGAGAACGACCTGGCTTTGCTGAGTCAGGGGCCTCCCAGCTTCAAGTGCCCCTTCAATCCCTCTTCCAGGTCCTCCAGTCCACCAGCCTGGCCTGGGCTCCTGGCTTCAGCCCCCTGCTGACTAGGATCGCTTCAGAAGGTCAATGGCAGGTGTGGCTATACACCAGTCAAGCCCGGTTCTGGCCTCAGCACGACAGTAGGAACTGAGCTTAAGTTGTGTGTTCAGGAGAAGGGTTCCCAATTCTGGGTCACAATTTTATTTTTAAATTAAGTCAATATAAAGATAGCAGATTCGGGTAGGGCGAGGTGGCTCATGCCTTTATGCCCAGTACTCCAGAGGCAGAGTCTGGGAGATCTCTGAGTTCAAAACCAGCCTGATAAACATAATGAGTTCCAGGACAGCCAGAGCTACACAGTGAGACCGTCTCAAAAGAGA